CCCCAAAACCCCAAAACCCCAAAACCCCAAAACCCCATATACCATAATTTAAAAGAATAAACATAAAGTATTGCTAAAATTAGAATTATAGTAGTAATTCATATGCTGATTATACTCTTTTACCTTCTGTACTAAGTAGAAGATTTAGTCTGGATTTTTAGGTAAAATCATTTCAGTTAAAGATCTGATCAAGTTAGTACTGCTTGAGAGAATAGTCTTCAATAATTCTCTGCTGCCCATTCCTATTAGATACTCTGTCACTATTACTATTATTCATTTAGGAATCCAAGTATTCCGAATTAAGTGATTCTTGCTTTACAAGACCTATTCTCATAAGCTTATTATTACTGAACTAGTTTCCCATTATGGGACCTTAAAGCATCTAACTATAGGGTAGCTATGGATCATTTTCAACCTGTGATCTGTGAGTGCTTCTAAAACTGTCATCTCCAATTTCAGATTAATTAATAGATTATAGGAATTCTAAATTTATTGATTAAGCATTTATCAATATTACTATGACTTAGATCGAATGATTACTGCTTCTTTTAACTTAATTCTTGGAGATTACCTTACTCTCTTAATTCATTTTATTTGAAAGCTTCAACCTTCATAGCAAGTATTTCAATCTAAATATTAATTGACTTGTTAAAGATTTATAAATTTACTGGTTAATTATTAGCCTCTAACTACCGCTAGAATAATTCCTTAAGTGAAGGTTACAAAATTTCAAGTCTTAATAGATTGGCTTGCCTTGTATAATCCTCTTCATACAAGTCATATTTTATAAGCTGCTCTATCTTTTGAGATATGTGACTGAGGAGTTCTTTACCTTTTAGTGAAGGAAGCTTAATCCAGAATCTTTAATCGATTTCATCTTATTCTTTCAATTTTGCTATTTAAGTTATTGAAATATTTATTGTTTTACCTAGTGCCTCTATTAGTGGATTTATTTCAAGGACTATAGCAGAAATGCTGCAAATAAAGAAGAGTAAAATTCGATATTTGCTCTCTGATTTTTTAGAAATATTCAGTCTTTAAATGGCACTCTAAATTTATAAATGAAACTTGAAAAAATACTTGGACATGCAAGATAAATGCATAGAAAAGTGGATGAACTTCAGTATTTTTATCCTATGATACTATGATCTACCTCCATATCTCATAAATCGAGAGCGAGTACTATCCTTTGTCTTCATTTAATGATTCTAAGTCAGTCTTAATAAAATCTGTTAAACTGAACAACTGCCTCTAAACATGATCTAGACTCATAGATTTACTTCTCAAGTCAGTAAAACCTAGTTCTTGGTTTGCCTGACTCATTTAAACCGAAATAAGCAGAGCAGTTTCAACTAATTAACTGTGACCATCATCTAGACATCTTGTTGCTAAATTAATCATCAAAATTAGGTGACTCTCCTTGATCTTCTTAAATTTAATTCCACTTCTTCTTCGTTATACAGATCTACCTTCTGACTGTTGATTCTCCCCAGAATCCCCTGATTAATCTAGATATGCCTAAATGAAATACAAATCAGCCTCAATGAGTCTCAGCACATTCTTAACTTTGCTTTCATTTATTAATTGTAAAAGCTAGTTATTATTTTGAGTAAGGACTTCTTCTTGAATCGAAGCTACAAAGAAATCTAGTATGTTGATGAGTTATTCAGAGTCATTTATTTTTGAAAGATAAGTCTCGCTATATATCCTAATTTGCTTTTCAATTTCATATTAAAGAGCAGTTTCTATTTGATAAGAGCTAAAGTAAAGGATTAGATGATAAATCTCCTCAAGATATCTAATACCGTTAAATTATCTTATATTAGAGTCCTCTGTCATTAACTTCATAATTTCACAAAATACTTCAAGCAAATTCCTCTTAATAAAAACTAGCTTTTCGACTTCCTTGTAATTGAGTTTAGGTGATTAACTGTCAATTCTTTCTTGCTTGATTCCCAAGGCTAAAAATTTGAGGAAGTACTCTAGAACGTAGTCAAGCATGTTAAAATCTATTTGTTTTTAATTGTTAGCCTCTACAAGTTAAGCATTTTCAAAAATCAAATTATTGACACTTAATGTATTTGTCTCATCTTTAGAAGTATTCTGCTTGCTATTGTAAATAATAGTTAGAAATGTAAACTTGGCGAATCTGGTAGAAAACCATTTATCTTAAGTGTCAAAGTACTCGAAAATTGGCAGTAAAAACATTTGATATAAGTCTTCATTCTCCGTATCTGTTGATACTCTCATACTTATGTGTTTTAAGATGTCAAATCCAATCTGATTTAGCATATTTTAAGTTTGAATTGAAGTGTTTTAATGAGATATTTATGATTATCTATCAATTAAGTTATTTCTGTCAGGACTGACAATAGATCTTGAAACGGCTAGCTAAGAGGGGATGGCTGGCACCTCTGAGAGTACAATTTCATCTAGATTTAGTGCTGAATCTTACTAAGAATCCATTGTCTTTAATTATTGAATAGACAGTTGGGCCTTGAGAATCAAACTCCAAGTCAGCTTAAAGATAAGCTGAAACTTTTGCTTAAAATTGCTTTCCTTCATCTATTAAACTATTTTAAAGAATCCTTTATATGTCTCGAACTATATTAGCTATTATAATGTGGTATGACCTTAGTCTCTTTAATCTCTATCTTTATCCTAATAATTTAAGTAAGGTTGGAGGAATTCAAGGAATTCATCTTCACTGAATGGCAGCTTCGACTTCTAAAGAGTTGTCAGCAAGATGTTAAATATTAAGAGTGATTCATATATAAAGAATGGAGCATTTGAGTTTGCCTACTTCTGTTCTTGAGCAGTCTCAGAAAGAATTTTGAAAATCTACTTCTCATTTGAAATGCAGAAAATATATTCATTGTGCACTGAACGATGTGCATTTCCTCCTGAACTTCTAGACCTTGGTTCTCTCTTTTTTATTGGAGTTAAAATAAGCTCTCGTATTAGTACTAGTCCAAGAAGTTTCAATCTGTAAATAGGTAAATATGCAATTTGAATTTAATGCTTCAAATAAAAGCAAGAAATGTGCTTAAATTTGGCAATAAATGACTAAAATTAGCTACTTACTCGTTGCTATAGGTAGGTTCCTGAATTCTTTTACACAAAACTGTACAGATCTTCTAGATGAATTTCTTATTAATCTACATAAGTGAAATAAGGTCTCTGCAAGATCCTTTTGCATGTCTATCAATACTCTCAGCCATTGCTGAGTTAAGCTGATCTGAACCTCTTCCCTGCTTAGGATCAATTCCTTGATTCTTTAAATCTAAAAGTTAATCGTTATTAGAATAAAGTTCATTCTCAAAGAGTATAAATATCCATACAGTTGCTGAAAATTTCATTGATCTTTTTGATATGTACTCTGTTAGGGTCGAAGGTTGCCTTGCAACAAGTGCCTCCCATTTTAGGATAATAGATTTAAATAGTAAATTAAAATTTAGCTCAAATTAATACTCACCTCTATAAACATTACTTTTTATAATCAAGGATTTATTCATTTTATTTTCATTAATGATTTTAAAACTTCCTCTATCAAATTCTTATTGATGGGGTTTTGGGGTTTTGGGGTTTTGGGG